GGATATATCGAACTTTGTACACGCAAATAACTTTGAGGATGAAGGAGAACTAAAGGACAGTGTCTTCGAAGCATTCAATAGAATAACCCCAGAAATGCTTAGCAATGTCTTAGAAATAACTGTGAGAAGAGGATATCTTTGTTCAGAAAATAATGGTTATCATTTTGAACATTTGTTGTGAATGTCTCTGTAGGTATTGTCAAAGTTAAGTTGTTAAAGTAATTCGTGTAAGAATTCATCAACAATTTTAAGCGCTGCATTGATCGAATGATGTAGTGAAATATTTGTTATTCACTTTTCAGTATTGAATAACTAATCCATCAAGTTTGACACTAAATGATTAGAAATAAGTGGAACTGATGGCTTTTTTTCTTTTGGAAGTTCGAAAAAACATTGATGATGGATAGAAATAGGTCGAAACACATTCGAATCACCTTGTATAGTACATTGTTGAATTCAGAATAAAAAAACCTTTCAGAATCTGTGGAAAAATTATCAGGACCGTATTTAAAAAACAGAAGTTGATGATGGTTCTACGGATACGAAACGTTGCATACCAAATTCGGTTTCACCACGTTAAACGTCATCAAAAGTTGCTATGAAAAAGTCTTCTCAGTTCTTCTGTATCTCTAATCATAACGGAGAAAAAAAATAGATATTCAAAAAACTCACTTTTTTCGATATAACTCAAAAACTAGAAATAATTTTGAAAATGTTCGAAGGCTCTTGATATGAACCTCCGAATGCGCAGCTTTTTCCCCATTTAAACGACTTCGTATCTCCTACCGTTTCCGAGATCCCCATGCTGTTCAACCTTATCTTCGACAGACTGTATAATCCAATAAAACATGGGGAAATGATGTATTGATGAATATATTTTCATGGAACCAACCAACTATCCGTGTCATTGAAAACTTACTCTCAATACTTCTTCACATTTCTGCAATAAAAACTCATTCAAAATGAGACTGGCAGCACCTTTCATTCACATCAACAAAGCCGTGAAAAGATAGGACCATCAGGAATATTCCCAACTTTAGTACAACGTGTAGAGGATTACGAGTTATATATTATGATGTTATTTCTGAGAATTTCCCAAAATTTTGCATTCCAAGAGATTGAAGTAGTTTTCATCTATGAAAGGAGCTGATCAGAGAGGAAGAAAGAGCTATAAGAGAGGGAGATAATTATGACATCAAGATCTGATACTAGTATGAAAAATTTTCTATATGCGAATAACTGGTAAAAAAAGACCATAGCACAGTTGCCATGATGGTGTTGAAATACGATTGGGTACTTCAGAAATATTAGTTATTCAAAAATTCATGAATCCTCTATTGAGTATTTTGGTAATATTCCTAATTAGCAATGCAATTGTCTCGAAATATCCCCTTATGATTTGTGGCTCATTGCTTACGATAAATTTGTGAGAATAATAATTATATTAACTCACACTAGAGGACATTTGAATCGGTGAACTTGACAACACGGCGCACGACTTCTGGGCGTGGTCTTGTCAGTTCTCACCATTCAGCATAATGTTGCCAAGTCTCCAACTATAAAGTGGAAAGCTTTGTTGGTTTGTTGAATAGGTTCCGCAACTACTGGCCGATTTGAACCATCAGAAGCCAACATTATTCCTGATGAATAAAGGCTACTTTTTACCTCGCAAATTCTTGATGTTTTTCGAAAAGAAACTAGCACACTCAGGTACATTACTAATGACTCCAATCACTGTTTTCAACACCAGATGGCAAGTTTAAATTTTCTAGTACAGATCGAGACTAGTTTCATCCCCTCTGAGCAAAGAAATATTGGATGTTGAAAGAAGTGTTGTTCATAAAGTGGCTGGCGTCAATGATGATGATATCAAAATAGTAGATAAATCAATACGTATAGACATAAATTTAAGTTGATACTTCGGAATTCTATACGTCTTTTCAAGCGGATAGAAACAATTCGGGAAGAATTCCAATCCCGTTCAACCCACATACATAAAGGGACTTGCTAAGGTTTTCAAAGACTTAGGTTTTGAAAGCGTTTATCAGTCTGTGTCAAAATTAGGCCATTTGTTAGTTGATCCAAAAGATGAGGTGGGCACACTTGGAAAGTCAGGAATATACGAAATTAGTTGTAATGATTGTGATGAAACATATATAGGCCAAACCCGGCAACCCATAAAAACAAGGTTCAAAGAACACCTAGCACATTCGGAATATGGTTGGTTAGATAAATCGTGAGCAGCCGAACACACGTTTAATCACAATCAAAACACACATATTCATGACCTCAAATTATTTAAGCAAGTTAACAATGTTAGGAAATCAGATGCGTATGAAAGCCTAGAGAATTGAAGGATAGTAATAGAGTAATGAATAGAATCAATGGACCTATTCTATATAGCCCTCTGCATGGTTCACTGACATGACATTGATGTGGAAACTCAACCATGACAACAATTAACTTGGTGGTTAGTGTCTTTCACGGTAGGGTGGACAAATAGATAGTATATGTATTCATATAAGTAGCACAATAGAATAGAATATTTAGTTTCAATCTCCTCCTGAGTATTGGTAAGCGAAACACGTGTCGAGGCGTATTAAAAATAGGTTTGGTTAGTGGTAAAACAATGTAGTATACTCAACTAAATTTCTCAGTTGTGATGATTTATTTCTGATATCAACAATACTCAAATAAATTAATATGAAATTGTAATTGAAAATAATTCGGAATTTGTTTGACTTTTTCAGATGTCAAACACTTCATCAGTAGGTTATTGAAAACCAAATATGCTATTCCGACTCGAGAAGAATTTTTAGTAAATTTGGGTAGTTTATTTCGAGACCAACAGCATTATTGCATGAAAAAGGTCTCGGCAAACACGACCAGCATTCTTTCCCTTTGACCCTTTGCCCTCCATTCCGTGAATATCTTGCGCCACCGTTTCTGGAAAGCAAATCTCAAACGAAAAAGATAAGGAAGGTATAGAGCCGCCCTATCTGCGATCTATAAATTATGCAGGAGATGCAAAAAGAGACAAGGAAATAGGTTGAATTCTGGAAAGCGCTGATTTGAGAGATCGATTCCCTCAAGGAAATTGGGTTTGTAGATTATCGAGATAAGTGGAAAGTTCATCTTCGAACCTGCCCGTGTAAAGCTTTCTCGTTCGTCTGATTTGAGGCATAAGGTTGAGAGAGAATTGCTTTGGAATTAAATATTTCGAATTCAGACTTCTTTCTGGAGTTGGTTCGTTATCAAAGATTGTCATTATCGATTTTTTACCACCGCCTGTTAGAGTTGTATTTCCGAAAGTGTCAATTGTATTTCAGAATATATATTATATACTTAATATATTTCAGAAATCGTCAATTGTATTTGGGAATAGAGGGACATTCTTGTATTCTCTGGGGGCACCATCAATTCACCAATTGTGTATATTCTTTGGTGGATTCCAATTTGACGTAACCACGTGTTCATTTATGATACTGTTGCAAAATTGCAAAGCATTCCACCCATATTCCACCGATGTACAGAGATGTTGGACGAATTTCGGTAGCTTCTGAAATGACAGCGACAGTATAACCTCAAAAAGCTATAAACAAAATATTGGATTTGAAAGATGTTTGCCATTTGCGTAAGAAAAAAAATTGATGAATCAATCGAAATCAGTCTAGAATATGAAAATTAAAGAATAACTGCATTATTGACACCAACAGAAATTTCGAGTGGTAAGTAGGTACTTTTTTCTTTCCCATCATGAATTTCAAGAAATTAGTGCAAACGTTCAGGAAACTTGATGAGAACCAACAGAGAATTTCTATTATTCACTCGATCCATATCATCATTATTCAATGTTATGTTTTGTGTATGGTTGTTGAGAATTTTCAACCTATCTTGTCTACTCTCCAACATGAACAATAAGTATTTCATCGTCGGAACTATCAGAAGAACTGCTAGAACTCCTGGATCTGGAGACGAGGACCCCAATAATACATCATTTTCCATTTTCCATTTGTTTTCGCCAATTCTGAGCTCCTAATTGGAAACAACCTAAATCACATTCAATTGACGACACAAAAATAATAGAAAAAACTGTTTTTTTTTCAACACTGATATATCCAACAATTCGGTGCATCAGAGAGTGACGTTACTTCCATCAGTGATGGAATTGTGGTGTAAAAAAGAGCATATCTTAGTAAATTGACTTTCAGAGAGTGTCAAATGTATTTCAAAGTAGTCAATCAATCAAGAATCATTTGTTTTTTAGAATAGTCAGTTATATCTCAAGAAGCGTTTAATGTATTTCAGATTTGTCAATTGAATATCAGAAAGCGTCGATTATATTTCAAAAATTAATATTTGAATTTCAGAAAGCGTCAATTGTAATTCAGAATATATTTGATACAATTTCTAGAAGCATCAATTATATTTCAGAAAATCCAATTGAATTTCAGAAAGTATCATTTGTATTTCAGAAATGTCGTTCGAATTTCGAGAAGCGTATTATTCATTGCCGATTCGAAGCAACATGTGACACATTTTTGGAACCAGAGCTCAGCAAGGAACATCATTAATTGTAATAAAAAAGTCGAAAGTTTTTCATTACCTGATGGAAGGCAATAGAACTAAGATTATCTATTTACACTGATGGTATTCAACCATAAATTTCTGTGATATGTTCATCAAATAGTACGTGAGAATGGAATATGTACCGATGAATTTGAAAAAATCACTTCAGGAAGTCCTCATTGGGAGCACTGAACATCCTAGGCAATATGCATTTTCACATGGCATGCATTTTCTAATGACCAATGAATCTTGATAATTCTGAAATACAAATGATTCTTTCTGAAATTCAAATGACTATTCTGATATACAATTAATAGTTTGTGAAATGAAAGTGATTTTTCTTGAATATAAATGGCGCTTTCTGAAATATACTGGAGAAGGTGAATATTAATTTCCTTGGTAAAACAGAAACAGACCAATGAATTGTTTTCATAATATATTATCAGCTATTTTTCTTATGAATATTTTGGAAAATCTCTACGGACTCAAAGACATCATCTGCCAAAACTCGTGGTAGTTGCATAGCAGCAAAATGGCCTCCTTCCTCATCGGTCAGATGAACCAAATTCGGATAGGTTTCTCTCAAGGCACCATCAGCAGCGTAGAAATCATTCGAAAATCGTATGCATGCTGTTGGAACAGTTACAGGTCTCCTGCAAAAAGTAGAAAATCAATCACAATGTATCTGGCATCAAAAGTATTCAACTCAAGAAAACAATAATCGCAAGATTAAAGAGTTCATCAAGTATTGGCGATGAATTGATTAACCAATGCTGTAAGTTACACTTCCTAGACATTCTTATTGGTCTCAAGTAGAAAATTAGTTGCAAATCTTTTATCCAAGTTAGATTGATATCATGAGAATATTGTGATGAGTATATTGAAACGACTAACTCTAAGCGGTTCGAGAGAAGCTGATAGCAATAAGTGTAAAGGTCACAGATTCATATGACCTTACTGTACTTTTTTTCGCTTACCTGGTGATTCCCAAGTCCATATGCGCCTTACTGAATGTTTCGGAATAAAGTCTGAAAGATGTGGTGGCAGAGTTGGTCACCCAGTAGAGCATGATATTATCCAGCAGGTCGGTGTAAGTGAAAACTTTCGTAAGTCCTCCATCTTCCTCCTCCATCCAGGCTTTATTGGTGCCAGTAGTGAATTTTTCCAGAATATAAGCTGCCAAGCCCACAGGAGAATCATTGATACCCACACCTATCAAGAAATTTCAGTTCATTCAGCATAATTCTCAATGAGAGGAACTCGAATAGTTCATGGAATGAACGAAAATGGTGCATAACGAGAGAAAAACAACTACTTTCCTGGCACGCAGAACATTGAATTACGCCCTCTCGATATCTATGCAACGATTGATGAAGACGAATAAGATTGCAAATGTTTCTTTCCTGAATGCTGATTTGTTGTTAAATTTTTCAGGAACGCATGTATCACCTGCAGGCCGGTTTCAAGCTTTCGGCTCTTATCAGTGCACGGTTGTCCCCCCGATAGTATTCTTGACCGCTATCTGGTGCGAACCTGACCCAACGTAAACGCATCTCAGCATTCAATACCCAGATAGCGGTCAAGAATGCTATCTGGGGGACAGGCCTGCGCTGATGGGAACTAAAAGCTTGAAAACAGTCTGCACGTGGTCCATGCGTTCCTGAACAATTCAAGCACAATTCAGCAATTAAGAAAAAAACATTTGCAATTTCATTCCACTTTACGAATTGTTGGATAAATATGGAGGGGATTTGATTCAATGTTCTGCGTGGCACATACCGGGTGTGTCCCAGTATACATGTTCCAATGAATTATCTCAGCCATTCCAGAAAATTTCATGACCCCAAAGGAAGCTTCAACCAAGAATAACAAAAATTGAAATCCACTTCCGGTTCGATCGGAAGGCTCTAACTTCTTTATTTCAAATAGCACCCTGCATATTTTTTGCACTTTTTGATTTCCACCCAAAATTACCGTTCCGACGATTTATCACACTTCGTATTTTAAATATGATTTGATGGAGAAAACGACAATTGAAATTTCAAATTGAACGAATTGCAGTAGGCTGCGATATTTTTGTCATCTTTATTTTGACATCAATAATAATTTCAAATTATCAGAATTGTAGTAGATCATGTAATTTTTAAATGTTTATCTTTCGAAATGTCTGAGATAATCTATTGAAACAGGTATACTGGGACACCCGGTATATCCCGCATTTTAGAAAATCTTTGGAGCAAACTCTTGTAGTAGTTGTATTGTATTTTGTTGAAGATTATTTCCTCATAAATTGGGGTGATTCTGCAAATTAATTAACAATATACCGGGTGTCCCAGTATACCTGGTCCAATAGATTATCTCAGCCATTTCGAAAGATGGAAATTTGAAAATCACATGATCTAATACAATTCTAATAATTTGAAATTATCATTGAAGTCAAAATCAAGATTACAAAAATATAGTATCCTACCGCAATTCGTTCGATTAAAAATTTCAATTGTCGTTTTCACCATCAAATTAAATTCAAAATACGGAGTGTGATACATTGTTGGAGCGGTAATTTTCAGTAGAAATGGAAAATTACAAAAAATATACATCAGGGTGCCATTTGAAATAAAAAAGTTAGTCAAACCGGAAGTGACTTTCAATTTTTGTTTTCCTCAGTTGAAGTTCCCCCCCAAGTATGATATATCGATGGAATCAGCTCCTCAGGCAGAATTTGAAAATGCAATAAAATACAGGGTATTCTATTCAAAATAACAAAGTTGTTGCAATTTTTTTATAGAAGCGGCAACACTGCATTGCTGAAAATATTTTGAATGAAAAGAGAGTATTCCAAAATATTTATGAGCATGCATATTTTCATGGATTTCTTCTGACTGATTCTCGATATAGAGATAGTGTAAGCTCATCGTGACATACCCTGTATAGGCAGGAAAGCAGTTGTTTGTTTCTCGTTATCTACCAGTTTCGTTCATTATATGAACTATTGAAATATTATTGTGGTAATGACTTTGAATTTATCTCTCTTTGTAACCATTGCATTCCACTTTTTCCTAGTTGATAATTTTCATTATACAGGGTGTCTGTGGAAGGTCTTCACAAAGACATACCACATATTCCTTAGACCAAAATAAGTCGATTTAAGTAAAATTACCTCAGTACAAAGTTGCATCGTTTGGGCTCCAGAGAGCCTTGAAGTTACAATTTTTAAATCGTTTTTCCCATATAAATTTGAAACGGCATATGCGATTTTGCTGAAATTTAGTATATTGATAGAATTTTAGGTGTCGAAAAAAATGGTGTTGAAATTTTGTCCGATAATAATACATAGGCGTAGAACTTGATTTTTCAAATAATTGCACCTTTAAAAATTCCACGCCGATGGAAGAAAAGGAGTTCGAGTATAAAATTTAGATTGCGCAACTCATTCACTTTAAAAGAGGTACTCTTGATAAGACTCGATTGCCCTCATGGTTTTGACGAAATTTGCATTTTAGTAATTTTAGAACATAAAAAATGATTATTAAAATACAAACTTTGTCAAAACCATGAGAGTAAATCGAGTGTTATCAAAAGTACTTTCTTGTAGTGAATGAGTACTCAATCCCAATTTCATACTCAAACCCCTTTTCTGTCATTGGCGTAGAACTTGATTTTTTAAATAATTGCACCTTCAAAAATTCTACGCCAATGGCAAAAAAGGGGTTTGAGTATGAAATTTGGAATGGGTACTCATTTACTACAAAAAAGTACCCTTGTTAACACTCGGGTTACTCTCATGGTTCTGACAAAGTTTGTATTTTAATAATTATTGTTTGTGTTCTAAAATTACTTGAATGCAAATTTCGTCAAAACCATGAGAGCAATCGAGTCTTATCACGAGTACCTTTTTTGAAGTAAATGAGTTGCGCAATCTGAATTTCATACTCAAACTCCCTTTCTCCTATTGGCGTAGAATTTTTAAAGGTGCAATTATTTAAAAAATCAAGTTCTACGCCTATGTATTATTATCGGACAAAATTTTGACACCATTATTTTTGCTACATAAAACTCTATCAATACACAAAATTCCAGCAGAATTGCATATGCTGTTTGAAATTTATATGGGAAAAACGATTTGAAAATTGTAACTTCAAGGCCCTCTGGAGCCCAAACGATGCAACTTTGTACTGAGGTAATTTCACTTGAATCGACTTATTTTGGTCTAAGGAATACGTGGTACGTTTTTGTAAAGACCTTTTACAGACACTCTGTATAATCCTAGAGTCTTCTTTCACTAGGTACTCACCTAAAGTATCAGGCTTCGTGGCCTGTAGATGCAAATACCCAGTTTCTCTCAAACGCAACATGAAATGCTCTCCCATTGGATAAACTCTATCATAGTGGTCAGGTTTCACGTACCACCAAGGTAACGATGGCAAGAAACTATTCAGAAAATACTTGAGATATGCTTGTGGCGTGTTAACAACACACATATTAGAATGGAAGCCTAATACTACTTCCGGGTAGAGAACCGACATGTGTTGAAGAATTATAGACCCGAAATCTCCTCCTTGAGCATAGAATCGCTGGAAACCTATAGCCTGCATCATATTTTTGAACACTAGAGAGATCTGAGCAGCACCTAGACCTGGTCTCACAGCAGCTTTAGAAAAACCATATCCTGTAAATTTAAGAGAATTGATAGCATTCTGTTGGAATGGGGAAGTTTTCTATATTGAGGTTTTCATCTCACTGTGAAGTTTGTAAAAAATTGATACATACAAATGATTCCTTCTTTTCGTCAAACACTTCAGAAAAAAAAATTGAAGAAGAACTTGACTGCTCCACCATGCCTATGACGTACTTTCTGAAAATTCACATTCACACAGAGTTAAAATATGATTCTCTATGCCAGTACGACGTTACCGACATCATCAATATGTCTAGATTTCCAGAAAGTGCTCTATGTATGCATAATAACTATATCATAACAGCAATGGGATACAATAGGTTCTTCAATCCTACTTTGTCAATTATTATGAATAATTTCCATGAATCTCTCATTGGCTGAATGAAGTTGATTACCAATAAAGACAAATTAGGATATTTTGCGATAATATCTATCATTTTTTACTATCGTTATATTACAATATATTATTCATAACTTGTTTGCTAATGAATTCGTTCCTTAATAAAACGGATCTACTTACTAGGAAAGTTACAGATTATATCTTGCAACTGCGCCTAATACTTCGAATCCGTCCACACCACTCAAAATACTGACAGGCACAACAAGAGGAAGGAGCCATGGGTGTCGGCTTCATTCTCTTCTGACCGATGGCAGTAAATTAGGACGAATAATATAATTGAATGAAGCTGATATTGATTCATTGATTCAATGATATTTTCGTTTTGAATCGAGCTCTATTCGAGATATTTCAATGCATAAATAACAAAACCATAACCTGTCAGAATGAAGCCAACTACCTTCTATATTCCTGCTCCGAGTGCATTTGCGGTTATGTATGTTTTTGTTCACCAGTTTTACTTCCTCTTCTATTTTTTTCATTCGTTTTTCATTAGTTAGCTATTCGTCAGCTATTCACGAGCTATATTCTTCACCATCAGCTATTTTCATACTAGATTCAGAATGTACGTCATAGTTTGCCGCCCCACAAATTAGAAATTGCTTCAATTTGAAAATAAGAACGACTTGGACTTCATCGGTCGCCATTCTGTACAGCGTGGACATAAAACTGGAGAGTTCCGAACTCAATTTATAAAAATTCATCCGAATGAAACTTCCCCATTGCCTGATTTTTTTAGAGTTTACCTGGTATATGTGGAGCGATAACTTCAAAAACGAAGTCTCTTCCTTTCTGAGGTGTTGTCAGTATTGGCAAGATGTCGTAAAACTCCCTCACGGATCCAGGCCAACCGTGTATCAGCAATAAAGGCAATACTTTCAACCCTTCTGATTTCTTAGGCTTCACATGAATATAGTGGAGATCCAAGCCTTGGATGTTGATCGTGAACTGGGGAAATTGATTCAGGAATTTTTCTCGTTTCCTCCAATCGTATTCGTTCTTCCAGAAGTCAACTATTTTCTTGAGGAGATTGGTGTTCATGCCGTATTGCTGTTGAATGCCTTCCAGAGGTGGAGTGAAAGGACGGTGATTTTCCAGGCGCCATTGCAGGTCTTTGAGCACCTACAAAGTGTCACATGTTACATTTCTTCTTCACTTTCTTGTTGTTATTGTGGAGCAATAGTGAGCAATGATATGCAAGATCGAATATTCCATAATTTTCAGTAGAGGAAGATCAAAACTGCTCCTGACTTGATCATACAGGGTCCAACCTAGTCCCCATCCTCTTTTATACAGAGTGAGTCATGAGGAATATCCAGGAAGTGTATTCACCAGTGTGTCTTCACCATTTCTTTTCCAATATATAGGGTGAATTATGAGATTTGGAAAAACATCTTTTAGTCATAACTTTCCAACGGCCTCTTCGATTCATCTGATTCTTTGATGGAATATTCTGACTCCAATCGACTGACTTATTCAGAATGGAGAAAATCCAGGACCGTTCTTGAAAAATTTTGATAAAGTTTAGTCTATAGCAAAAAGTTCATCCTGTATATCGATTTGGTAAACTGTGACAGGGAGTTTCCAAAGTTCATACACAAACATCAGGAATAAACCATTCCAAATTTCTCTCACACTGTCACTGCTGTCTGAAAAAAACGGAATTATATGAAAAACCGAAAATTTGGCAAAAAAATTAATTAAAATTGAAAATTAGTATTTCGCAACCCACAAATTTCACGAATAAAAGTGAGACTTACATTCTCAATGCTTCAGCTCAATGGAAATCAATATATTATTTTATTTTCAGGCCTGGATTTAGTAATTATTTCGTGAATGATAATAATCATCCTGTAGATCTTTTTCGAATCAGTGGATGGAGTACCTGTGAAAATTTTGATGATCATCCGCCTTTGTCAGTTTAGCTTTTGAAAAATAATTGTTGATAAACCTTTAGTTTCTGTTTCTGAATTATTTGAATCGATGACCATCAACATCCACTGTTTTGAAGAAGATATACAGGGTGATTATTAACCTCCACAAAAACAGAAATGACGAAATCTAGGCCTGGAAATGAAAGAACATGTTGATTTCCTTTTAGCTGAAGCATCGGAAATGTGCGTCTTACTTTCATTTGTAAAATTTATGCGTTTCGAAGTAATTATTTTGAATGAAATAATTTGTTATCAAACTTTCGTTTTTGCTCATAATTTATCGTTTTTCGAAAAATTCTGTGAGGGTGTGAGGAAAATTTTGAATATTTTATTTATGATGCTTGTTTGTGTGCTTTGATAATTCCATGTGACAGTTTACAAAAACCTTATACAAGATGAACTTTTTGATAAAAAATAAAATAACGAAATATTTCCAAAGTGGTCCCGGATTTTCCAGATTCTGGAAATGTCAGTCGGTTAGGGTTTAGTAAAGGAATATTCCATAAAAAAATCTGATGGATCGAAGGAGCTGTTGGTAAGTTATGCTCGAAAGATGTTTTCGCCAAATCTCATAATTCACCCTATATATTGGTGAAGACGGGAAGAAGACACTTTCTGATGGTCATTAGATATTTCCCTCAAGGGCCTCTATTCGTGGTAGAAGTATGTAAAGTTCCTCATGACTCACCCTGTATATTATTGAACCATCGTTATACTGATCAGATGAATTTGAAGATGCGCATAAAATTTTTCCGAAAACTGAACAGAGAATTCTGAGGATCAAGTGAAACTGCTCCACTTCATAATACCGGGTGACCAGTTATATTCTGACCTATTTCAACTGCTCATATCTCCGAAACTATTCAAATTATCGTTGTGCGGTTTGGGCTTCTCTATTTTGATATTCTTCAAGTTTTTTGGCTGGTTAAGATAAGATAAGATAAGATAAGATCTTTATTTTCCAGTAGACAACACAACATTGTATAGGAATAGTCAAAAACTTAAATCTAGGTAAATGTAAATGTACAAACACGAAAAATCACAGGTTTGAAGTCAAGATACCAATTAAAATAGGAATTTTCTTACTAATATCCTTCTCACTTCACCTTCTCACCTGAACTTCCGGTTCTACCCGGAACAAACAAGCCATTATTCAGGTATAGGGCAACTTTGATAACATTGCATAATCTCATTAAACCATTCCACAAGCAGTAGTTGTTTCAAAGAGTTATAACTTCAATAGTTTTCAAGGAGAACATAACTTGTAATACATTGTTAGATAGAGAAAAGACCAGTCTTTCTGAATGTGCAAAAATATACAGGGTGATTCAATGGATTATTGCTTGTTTGTTTCCGGTAGAACCGGAAGTTCAAGTGAAAAGATGAACACGTCAAAAAAAACTTGAAAAACATCGAAATAGACTAGTCCAAACCGCACAACGATAACTTGAATGGTTTCAGAGATATGAGCATTTGAAATGGGTCAGAATATATCTGGTCACTTGGTATTATGGGAGAGGTAGTGAAACTGACTAAAACTCTGACATCTCAGAATTCCATTGAACATTTCCTATTAATTATCAGAAAGAAAAGTGAAACTTCATTCGTAGACGATTTTCATTTTTTTTTTTTGGATAGGTATTATGTGTTGCTGATATTGCTAATTCAGGAATGAACCTACTGAACGTACCTAATAAAGTGGACTCACCTGATCAGAAATGTTTATGGTGAATGGTTTCACAACTGCTTGACCTGAATTTGGTTTCCCAGGTCCCCACCAAGTATTTTCTAGCGGTGGAGGTAATGGTGGGGGCTTCAGAAAAGAATTGATCCTGAATCCCAACAGAGCTATGATTCCTGCTATCAGCAATAATAGCACTTTCGCCATCTTCCCCAACAATACAACTATTGGAATAAAATAGACTGGTTTCGCGGTATTTTCGTTGGTGTAATGCGCACCAGCGATTATCGTTATGTCAATTATTGAACTCTATTTTCTAATAATACAGAGCATTAAACATACATTTTAATGGTACTTGAATTTCCATTTTTATTCACATGATAAGATACGAATTCAAATAATGTTTGCGTTCATACTGCTGGTGTGCCAAACTAAATATACGTACTCATCGAAAATTATTGTGGGAATCAATATATACCTACCATAGTAACGTAGACCTTGTTGATAAATATGTTCGAACAATCTTGTTAGGAAATATATCACTCGTCTGATTCTAGACTGTGACTTTTTTTCACATTCATATTCAGGGGAATCTCTATTGTTGGATAATAATTATTTTTTTACTCAAGGTCAGATAACTGGGTTTCGTTAAAACACAATTCGAACTATGAACCTAATGAATTCATATCTCAGAATGTGCTAATCATCGATACAGGATGTCCGTCTGAAATAATTTCACAGTTACCTACTGAAGTTTCTCAAAATACATGTTCAAATAAAATTACTCATTGATTTATTCATTCATTCATTCATTCATTCATTGAATTAAGTGGTATTTTCATTTTGTCATCGAATATCAATTATATGTATATATATTTCATATTGTATCTCCTTCACATAGGTTGGTGACCTGTGTGAGAAAGAGATGAAATATTTCACGTATAAAATTGTTTTCCAACAATATGAATACTTAAACTGAAAAAAATAATCAATTCATGCAATTATGAGAATAAACAAAAATAAATGGAAATAGAGTTGATTAAAAAAATATTCTTTTCGCATTTTCTATAAACCAACTTTTGACTTCGTTTTTGAAAGTTATGATATTTAGGAGTTTTAATGTTGATGGTATTTTATCATGAATTTAAGATCCAATAACTAGTTTATTTTCCTGAAATTCTGAGCTTATGTATTTCAAGTCGTACATTGGTGATTTTGTTCCTTGTATCATAAAAATGAGTGATTTTATTGATTATTGCCGGATTATTTTCAATGAAGATTATTGACGCCTTATAGAATAATTGCCTAACATTCAATATATCATTTTCTAAAAATAATGATTATGACATATTTTTGAACACATAATAAAGGTTTTAGATGAGTTTCATACATACCACCCCATCCAATCATTCCATACGATAATATAGATTGAAAGAGAGTGTGATGAAACCTTATTATTAAATGTCTACTGACAATATTTCGCAAAAGTCTGAATTTACGAAGGGGACTTCTGAGTGTTTTGTTAGTTCTGAGACATGATAATTTCACTCAAAATTTCGATCAATGTATATATCAAGATATTTGATTGTATTCACTTTAGGTATTTCATTAGTACGCGAAGAAATGACTGGTATTTTGAATACATTTTCAGAGCAACTCTGATCATGATGAATTGTCAATTTTGTTATATATTTTGGTTGTGAATCATCATAACAGGCAGAAGTCATGAATTTTGTTTTATTCAAATTTAGAGTTGACGAGTCAAAATCAAGAATATGTTTTTTACTATTCCTATAGCTTCTTCTGCACTAGATACAGCTTGTGAACAATAAATTCCATTAACAATTATCTATGTATCATCAGCATAATATATGAGAAAATATGTCCATTAATATCTGTTTTTAGTATGTCATTAATATAAATGAGGAAAATAATTGGACCTTCAACAGTTCCTTGAGGAACACCACAAATAGAACAGTTTTCGAAGAATATGGAGAAATATTCAAACGAAAAACTCTAATTATTGTAGGAACACATCACAAAAAATATGAAAGTTCTCGAATTACGTCAAGTTTTCGGTCGCCAGATGCGAATTTATTTTGTGAGTGAACGCTTCACTGTCGACCGAAAACTTTCACCATTATTTTCATGTGTTCTTACAATAATTACAAGTTTTTGATTTCATTCTTCCTTAGACTACCAAATCGTGTGATCTGTCAAAATAGCGGCAAATTCAAATCCGACAGCCCTGTTGGGAAAATGAGAAATAGAATTTATAGTGGTTGGTTCAAAAACTTGCAATTTTTACCTATACGGTATACAAAACGCATTATATAACTCCGCTTATTAAACGTCATTGTTCGTGATGTAATGGTTCATAAAAGCAGTGGTTTACGCCCTGACAATCATGATGCCATGTCGAGCTCTGGCCCTAGAGATCGTAAAAAGTGTACCACCATAAACTCCAACGCAAATGTGTTAGTGTTTAGTGAGCCGTTTATATCCATTTACATGAAAGGCTAATGAAGGGTAGAGGACTTCAAAGGACGACCATAAAATATAATGTAACTTGGGAAATACATTTTTTCGCGCGATAATATTGTGGGAAAACGCGAACGTCTGAGAGTAATAGCTTCTTCGTGATCACTGAAATATTCATAAGTAACAGGTGAGAATGGAAGATAATACCTAGTTGGATCGGAAGGGAAATATCAGCTGGAATGTGACAAGTAGATCGAAAAATGGAATTTGTGGTAGGTTTTCATTCCTATTAATATCAGAGCGTCCAAAGGTTAGTTTTTTTTTTAGTTGACTCGGACATTACTATATATGAAGTCAGAGTGACTGAAAAATATACAAGAACGAAGCATACAGAGCTAGATCCCATGAACGCCAAACCTTCTTTATTTTATAAAATCTGAAAGTTTTTCTGAGCATGCTTCCAATACAGGTGCATCAATGCATCAATCCATCAATGCATCAATGCATCAATGCATCAATGCATCAATGCATCAATGCATCAATGCATCAATGCATCAATGCATCAATGCATCAATGCATCAATGCATCAATGCATCAATGCATCAATGCATCAATGCATCAATGCATCATTGCATCAATGCATCAATGCATCAATGCATCAATGCATCAATGCATCAATGCATCAATGCATCAATGCATCAATGCATCAATGCATCAATGCATCAATGCATCAATGCATCAATGCATCAATGCATCAATGCATCAATGCATCAATGCATCAATGCATCAATGCATCAATGCATCAATGCATCAATGCATCAATGCATCAATGCATCAATGCATCAATGCATCAACGAATCAATGCATCAATACATCAATGCGATCTATGAATCTATGAATCTATGAATCTATGAATCTATGAATCTATGAATCTATGAATCTATGAATCTATGAATCTATGAATCTATGAATCTATGAATCTATGAATCTATGAATCTATGAATCTATGAATCTATGAATCTATGAATCTATGAATCTATGAATCTATGAATCTATGAATCTATGAATCTATGAATCTATGAATCTATGAATCTATGAATCTATGAATCTATGAATCTATGAATCTATGAATCTATGAATCTATGAATCTATGAATCTATGAATCTATGAATCTATGAATCTATGAATCTATGAATCTATGAATCTATGAATCTATGAATCTATGAATCTATGAATCTATGAATCTATGAATCTATGAATCTATGAATCTATGAATCTATGAATCTATGAATCTATGAATCTATGAATCTATGAATCTATGAATATATGAATCTATGAATCTATGAATCTATGAATCTATGAATCTATGAATCTATGAATCTATGAATCTATGAATCTATGAATCTTTGAATCTTTGAATCTATGAATCTATGAATCTATGAATCTATGAATCTATGAATCTATGAATCTATGAATCTATGGATCTATGAATCTATGAATCTATGAATCTATGAATCTATGAATCTATGAATCTATGAATCTATGAATCTATGAATCTATGAATCTATGAATCTATGAATCTATGAATCTATGAATCTATGAATCTATGAATCTATGAATCTATGAATCTATGAATCTATGAATCTATGAATCTATGAATCTATGAATCTATGAATCTATGAATCTATGAATCTATGAATCTATGAATCTATGAATCTATGAATCTATGAATCTATGAATCTATGAATCTATGAATCTATGAATCTATGAATCTATGAATCTATGAATCTATGAATCTATGAATCTATGAATCTATGAATCTATGAATCTATGAATCTATGAATCTATGAATCTATGAATCTATGAATCTATGAATCTATGAATCTATGAATCTATGAATCTATGAATCTATGAATCTATGAATCTATGAATCTATGGATCTATGGATCTATGAATCTATGAATCTATGAATCTATGAATCTATGAATCTATGAATCTATGAATCTATGAATCTATGAATCTATGAATCTATGAATCTATGAATCTATGAATCTATGAATCTATGAATCTATGAATCTATGAATCTATGAATCTATGAATCTATGAATCTATGAATCTATGAATCTATGAATCTATGAATCTATGAATCAATTTTTCCGAATCGCAATTCGTTTCATTCCATCAGACTACTTATTCTTACGATCCTCAAGACACCATCGTTTTCCTTCCAGGTGAAAGTGATGCTGCGCGTGTCGAGCCCCTCTGGCTGCCACAGCTCCTTCAGCCTCGACAAGCGGAAGAAGCAGGTGACGCTGACCGACCCGGCGGGAGCGGCCGGCCCGCTCCACTCGGCCACCCCTCCCGAGGACCGCCGCGTGGGGGTGGCCGCCCCCAAGATGTTCGCCTTCGATGCCGTCTTCTCGCACGACGATTCGCAGGTGGGTGGTTTGTTTAATGCGTCATTTCGTCACATGGGATAGTGGAGAAGAATCGTCTAGACTCTAGAGACAGTACGCATCGAATACTTATTGCGGGTGGGGGGGAGAAAGTGCCGCTATATTTGATGATCTCATAATCGAATAGTTAGTATTCGATTGATTCCTATAATCGAAATATCATTTGAATTATCGATCGCTCGGATAGTACTAAAGACTTATTAATACCTATTTTGAAATTTGACAATGTGCACTTGTCTTCAGATAACATGTCGCGGTTGGACGGTGTAAGCGCAGCAGTGATTTAGAGAGCACACACCGTCCATGTGCGATATGTTCACTGAAGATGAGTGTATTTGTTCATTCTATTTTAGTTCCAAAGAATATATTTTTTCATTAATTTTTATCGAATTTCCTATTTTCCGCGTTTTTATATTCTTATCCTCATTCAATGGTTATTAAATTTGCCTTCCATTTATATCCTCATTAAAGTTTATTTCTTATACAGGGGATTCATTGGGAAATGCGCATACAGTGAAGGTAGATGAAAGAAACCGAGATGCTTCTGAATAATCTATATTCCATGGGTCTATCATGCTTAATAACTGAAATACAGGGTGATTTGATGATTTCATCCATTTTTTCAGTGAATCATAACTTATGAACCACCCTATACAATCTCTTGATATTTGGTTTGTATGTTCTTTGTCCACAGTTGTGACGATTGACATAATGAGATTTATTCCAGGGCCGGCCTTGAAAAATATAATGAGTAAGTTTCGAGTCGCAACAACATCCTATGTATCATTATATTGAATACTCATCTACAAATAATTTGGGAAGAGCAGGAAGAAACAAGTATGACTGAAATGATTTGTTGTTTTCGCATACAACTTTTTCACCTATTAACTTGAGTCAAATCTATAAAGGTTTCAATAATGAGGTGGCACAAAATGAAAAAAAACATTGAGTTCCTCAAATGGCACTTTTACATTTTAAATCCATAAGATCATCATCTTCTTCTTATTCTCTCAATTTTTGGATCCTTACCTGATCGAAAAACTAGAGGACAAGTCCGTATTTCGGGAAAACTATTATTTTAAAATGCCATGTTGTATGTCTATGGATTTCACTCCATACAATTTGTGGCAACTACATTTTTGTTTGATATGAAGATATGCTTCTTTCGGAATTGGCATTGTTCAACATTTTCATAATTGTTGTTTTGGATGTGGTATAATAAACAAATGTTATGATAATTTCATGATGTTTTTCTCACACAAAGAAGATAGTCATCAATAATAATAATTTGTCCCAAATACGGGCATGTCGTCTCGTTTCCAATTAGATTGCGATCCAAAAATTAGGAGACAGAAAAATAGTTGATGATTTTATGGATTATAAATGGTAAAGTACCATTTCGGACCACAAATATATTGTTTTTAAATTTTGTGCCCCCTGATTATTGAAACCTCTAGATTTGACTCAAATTAATGGGTAAAAAAGTTGTATGCGGAAACACCAAATACATTCAGTCTGACTTATTTTTTCCTGCTCTTTCCAAATTTGTGAATGAGATTCTAAAATATTGATATAGAGAGTGGAAAAGTACTTTCTTTCATCATCTTAATCGTCACCACTGTGGACAAAGAACATACAAACCAAATATCAAAAAATTATATAGAATGGCTCTTAAGCTATGATTAATTTAAAATATTAAGGAAATCGATAAATGACCCTGTATCTTCATTATAAAGAATGATAGACCCATGAAATAATATGGATCATTTAGAAGTACCTCGGTGTACCATCTACTACCCTTACTATATGCGCATTTCCCAATGAAGGGTGATTCATTATTCACATTCAGTATTATTAGTGTTTCAAGTCCTGCCTGCTTTCAACGGCTTTGATATTTGATGTGACGCGCAATGAAATATCAAGAAATGTTCACATATCCACAAGTTCTGCTTGTTTCCTTATTCCAGATATGATGCGAGCAATCAACTCGCCCCTCTCGTCGCTCGTCAGTCGCCTCGAGTGATCCAAATCATTCGAATGATTCTGGTGCAGTACTGGAGACATCTTGATTATTTGGGATTTTTTCTCCTCGTTCCTATTTCTATAAATGTGTAGTAGGATATTTGCCCCAAAATGTCACTACGTTTGACATGTTTTTCTATCAGGGAGCCTGAAACAAAATTTCAATAAAAAACGTGTGAAAAACTCATTCAAAAATGAAGAACCCGGCACCTAAATGAATATGACACAAACTCACTCACTTCTCTGGAGTACCGCAGGAATGTTGGCGATCTAGCTCTATTTCATAGATATTTTCATGGACGATGCTCTTCTGAAATATCAACAATTATTGTAGGAGGTTATAAACATTGGCTGATGATGGGCCTATTATAAGCCCGAAACATGTTTCTTTCATTTGCAAATAACTATGTTCAACTATTGAATGTCGTGGAGATGATTTTGAGATTTACTCTTCCTTCAAAAATTCAATAGCTTGTCAGTGACACATTGTTGGGAATAATATATGAAGAAAAGAAGATTTCTTCTCTATATTAATTATAGATATATCGAAGAAATATCGAATTTCCACTTATCTTTGGACGTTTCGGGAACGAAACTGCTCCCGTTTTCAACATGAAATTGCGAAATATTTTTGTTCGAAAATTCTGTTCTCATAGTTTGACATACTGATATTGACATATGGATGAGTGATGATGTTTTTATACAAATGAGGTACAGCATGTTTTCATTAATTGATCTTGAATCTACCATTTTAATTTTTAGTTTTTAGTAGTGAATAGCATGTTCTATCTATATCAACTGAACACGAAACAATGGTATTGTCCCCGTTCAGAAGAATGCAAGCGGATTCCTTGATTGGTCTCTTTTGGTTGATATCTTCTTTCCTGTGATTTTGATATTATTCCACTCTGCCATATGTTGTCCATTTTCAGTGAGGATATGTTCAGTTAGCTTTGATTTATCGATATGTCTATTCTTGATATTGTATTTTGGGTGAATGATAAATTGACATTCATCATACAGGGCGTGGAAAGAAATTCTGAATTGAGACTCTATCACGAATCTGCGATTAGAGGTCTATAAAAATCACAAGTTTCCATCGTTCAAGTTTGAACCCCCTGATTGGGTATGAAAGTGTTGAAAAGGAATATTCTCAGATAATTTATGAACATACAAAAATGGATATATATTTATATGAAGCAATACATTAGGAATTCGCATTCTCTATGTGATGAGAATATCTACTCTGATATGAATGATTATTTTTGGAAGTTTTCAAGCTCATCAAGATCAAAGTTTATGCCAGTATACTTCTCCTATACATTCCAATTTTCATTTCAATGGTGGATATATTGGTAAGTTATATTTCTATATATTATACATCATATTATTCATCCGATTTGAAGGAGAATGTCAATTCTCAATTTCGGAGGATTTTATTTTTTATTTTTCATGTTCTCCTTTTGAATGTTCATCAGATATAATTCAATGTTCGTCGTGGCATATAGCCAGGAAAGTAGTTGTTTTCTATTGAATAAACTGAAAAAGAGTAGATATTCTCATCACATAGAGAATGCGAATTCTCAATGTATTGCTTCATATAAATATATATCCATTTTTGTATGTTCATAATTTATCTATCATGCATGCATGCGAATCCATTTTTTTCGGCTCTCTGATAGAAAAAATTTTTCTAACGCAACAACGCTTGGAGGCAAACCATCTGGATTGTCCTCACTACACGTATATTGAAATAATACTCATATTGTTATTTTATAGAAGCGAGGAGAGAAAATACCTCGGAAAATACCAAAGAATCTGGAATAAAGAATATCATCATGCACCTCCTCGATTAACCTACTGACAGAACTCTACAGTCTACATTCTGTTTTAAATTATTTTTCTCGACATCTGTGGTTTCTTGTGATGGAAATATTCTACTTCTCAGCTTAGGAATCATATTTTGCTGACTAAACCAAAAATTTCGAAATTGTTTGAATATTGACACGAAAGGTAACAAATTTAATGTTGAGTATGCGATTGGATGAACGAGAATCTTTTGGAACGTACCTAAACAATGAATAATCGAAATCATTCATCTATATATCTATACTAGGGGTGGGAAAAATTATCGATATATCGATAATTATCGATAATTATCGATAATTATCGATAATAATTCGGAGAAAAATTATCGATTTATCGATATTATCGATATTATCGATATTATCGATATTATCGATATTATCGATATTATCGATATTATCGATATTATCGATAATTATCGATATTATCGATATCTTCGATATTATCGATATTATCGATATTATCGATATTATCGATATCATCGATATTATCGATATTATCGATATTATCGATATTATCGATATTATCAATATTATCGATATTATCGATATTATCGATATTATCGATATTATCGATATTATCGATATTATCGATATTATCGATATTTTCGATATCATCGAAATAATCAATAATGTCGATGATATCAAAATTATCGGAATTATCGATATAACCAATGATATAAAAATTATCAAAATGAATGAGCATCAGAAAAATAGGTATTTTTGTTTCTTATATGGAACACCCTGAATAAAACAGATACTTGTTGGTAAGAATTGAAGTAAGAATGAAGAATATAATAAGATACGCCACCCTGTACATCAGCCCTGTTCAAACAACATAGGACTCCAGCACAGCAACTTGCATGAAGCTATCTGACATCTGGCAACGTGGCAACCCTTATTAGTTGTGGTGGCAAACTTATTGGTTAGTTATGTGTTGAACGAGTAACAAGTATCAAGTAAGGTGGGTTATCGATAATATCGATAATATCGATAATATCGATAATATCGATAATATCGATAATATCGATAATATCGATAATATCGATAATATCGATAATATCGATAATATCGATAATATCGATAATATCGATA